TCTTCCTGTTAAAAGGGAGTTTTTCCTTCCCACTGTCGCCAAAGTGCTTGCTCATAGGGGGTCATATGATTGTTGGGTTTTTCTCTGTATCTATGTTGTGATTTGGCGCTATATAAATAAAATTGAACTGAATTGAAACACCATTGTGAGGCATTTAAAGTCCAACAGCTCCCTCTAGTGGCCATATATATAAACATGTGTGAGGATGGTGTTAATGTGAAATGTGTGACTGGGAGAAACAGTTTGCCAGCTCTAAACTCAAGTGGTATTCAGATGGCAGGGAGGATGCCAGACAGACCTTGTATTCCTAAACATATGGTGAGGGTGAGCTGAGAATACGTGAGATTTTCAACTCCCAACTGCAGCAGAACTTCAGTAGCAATAGGATTGGGGCATTAAGTCTGATCCATGATCTGGACCATGCTCTGCACCTTCATTACTGTGGCTGCAAAGTGGTTGGTGAGTGTTGTGGTGCTATCCCCTGAACCAGATGACGGACTCCTACAATGAAGAGAGCCATTAAGCTAAAGAAGGTTTTTTTTATTATGCAGTTACATAAATTTCAGTGCACTATTACTCAACTGTAACCACTGTTGCTACAATGATATTACATGAATACTAACTGGTTATTACTTTGGTAATTGACTAGTAATAACCTATTATTAGCATCATTACGTTCTATTTCAACCTTGTTACTATTGCCACTTTATTACAGAGCTGTAATAGAAAGTGCTACTGTTTTTTATTTTTGTTGTTTGAGCTTTTATTCATAACTGCTTTGATTCATGACATCTGTTTTTTTACTTCTTGAATGTAACATATATTTTAAATCTCTGCTCTCAGCATCTTGTGCAGGAATTAGAATTAAATTTTATTTTCAATCATAATACCAAGTTTATCTGGATCCATAGGCTGTTACTTTGTTACTTTGCCCCTGCAGGTGTGCAATAGTTCCATATATGGAACAAACAGTGGAGATAGGAATGTGGTTGCTAGGTGTTGCTATGGCACTGGTGTCACAAAGGTGCAGGGTGTGTTGTGTAAAACAGGCTGATACACAGGAATACAGGTTAATACAGGTCTGTCGCTGCTTGGTACAGAGGTCCCACAGAGATTTAACTTTTTTATTTGATCTTTAGATTAATGAACAATTGACTTTTGTAAAACCTTTTGAGTGTAATTAAACAGCAGGTTTCTTTTTACCACTGAAAAAACAGACCTCACACCTTTTTTTTTAAATCTTTCAATGGATAAACGTTCAATCCTGATGATCAGAGGACTCTTCAAGTGATCCCTGCAAAACAGTAAGTCTTAAAAACACTTTTGTTTCTAAGTAATCTGATCTGTGACTTACAACAAGTCTGCAGCAGACAGACGAGCTCTCTGCAGATTATTTGCTGCTGCCTGTCTGTACATGTTTTCTCTGTGTGTGTTTCTGCTGCTTCTTCGTCCTCACTGTAAACAGATGTACTGAGAGACTCCTGCACTGATGTTTCATAGGAAAGTCCAAACAGCCTCACTGGTTCTCCATGAAGAACAAAGATTTGCTCTCTGTGGCTCCAACACAACTTAAAGACAATCAAAGGTGGACAAAGTTCTCCAGATCAGCTGTGGTTTTATGGAGGCTACAGCTAAATGCTGCCTCCTCCATGGTACAATATACATTTTTATACAGTGACGCCATTTTGACCTTTGTGTTTTCACCTCTTTTCTCATGATGAACATGTTTCTGATAATCCTCCAGTGAGATTATGATTCTTGTTTTGTGTTTATGGTCTCTTTAAGAGTGAGTTTCTGTGTTTTAGTTTAGTTTATTAGAGTTGGTTCAGTTTTTGTCTTGTCAAGAATCACTTTACTGACTTGTGAATCATGATTCACAAGCCCAACTGACTCATTCACTGACTCACCCCTGTTACTGTTAGCAAACTAATTTCATTAGTAGAAATATATCAAGTTTATAATTAAAATTGTGAGAAAACAACAACAGCCAGTTTATTAACTAAAACATTTCTGCTCTGGACGGGAAGAAAAAACCCTGAGTAGAAAGCTCACATCAAGACAAGCGTGTTACCGTGGAAGAGACGCTTCTTCATCTGAGATGAAGTCTTATAGTCTGACTGACGCAGTATAACATTCAGGCTACACTTTGTTTGTTTTGCAAAGATAATAAGCAGACTAAAGAAAACATTTTTTTTAACTCAGTTCCACCACTATTAAAAAAAATACAGGGTCTGACTCGCATTTCTTGCATGAGAAAATATATATTTGACACATTTGTGGAAAATACTAATACAATAAAATAAATGTTCCCTTTAGAAATCTTGATTTTCTTGCTCTATAAAATAGTTATTTTTCTTTTTCAATCACTCATCTTAGCAGTAGGATTTACAGGTGCTAAATGTGGCAGAATAAGTCGTGATAACACTGGAAAAAAGAAAAGATGATGTCATGTGGGGAATTGCACCTCCCGAAATATTAATCTAATAAACCTTGTTTATCACCTGATAATAAAAGCACACAGACTCAATAATGGTGAAATTGTTCGACTTATTTTAAGTTTCAGTAAAATTATTTGTTTCACACATTTCAGTGTCTGAATATATAATTTGTAATAAAGTGTATTATAAAGCAACAACTATCATCACTGATAACAAGTGACTGAAACATTAAATCTACCACTATATGAGCATCCTGGTTGTGCTGCATTCCCAAATACGTATACCTAAATATAAGTTCCCACTTTGAACTTAAATGAAACATCCCTCAACTTGGATTTGGACTTGAATGTCAGAGCACCTGCAGCCAACCAGAGTTCACAGTCCAGGATAGGAGTGGTGACATAAACATCAGTAAAACTTGTGATCTCTACTGTGATGCTTGTGTATTTGTGACTCACTAAATGAGACAAACACAGAGCACTGACCAGGAGCAAATGTGTCACAGATCAAACAGAGCGAAGCATCTTACAGATCAGGAAAAAATATAAAATTAACACAAACACTTTAAAATTTCTTAAACTGCAAAGAGCTAGGTAATGAATGAGTACCTGTTCTACTTCAAGATGAGTGTGTAGATTATAAACTGTTGCATTTGCAGGAGTTACTGACAATAACCTTCAGTCAGTAATAAATTTCACTTTACCACAAACTAAAGTGATATTTGTTCCACCTTTGTTAGGCTGCAGGACAGAGTCAGACTTGTAGTGATGTGTCATGAGCAAAACCATCGTCTCTAAGAGCCGATGGTTTGTAGTGAATCAGAAGAGCCGACTCCTCACTTTTTTTTAACAAGGTTTGATGTTTAACTGTCGTCCCACATACATCACACACAGCATAATTTCTATGCTGAACGCAAATATAGTTATGATCTGTGAACAAAATCAAGATTGTGTGTTTTGTGGTCTGATGTTTTGTGCTTCATTGGCTCACACTCCTGTGGAGCCGTAGCACGCACATGAAGGAGAGGCGGAAGGTGATTGTAGTTCCTGTTAACAGGGTATTACCGACTATCCCTCTAATTGCCGATCTTACTCAGAGTTTACCTAAATTAGATATTGATATTTTCAATTACGGTATTAATATTTCAGGATCACTGCGCACATCACTACCCCTCAGCCCGTGAGTGAGACGGCAAACAGCGGTGAGGAGAGTGCAAATGCGTCATAAAAACACATAAATATGACTGATACCCGTAAACGAAGCAGGCATTTGATTTTTCTGAGTGTCAATCTGCATTGAGGACATACTGTTTGGCTGCTGAGTTTGGTTCTGTTTCTGCTCTATTGATTTGTTTACAGTGTTTTGTTTTTGTGTTGAATTAAAAGTAAAAGTTTGATTAAAATAGTAAACTTAAGTAAGAATGCCTGCTTTTGTAACAAAACAAAT